GCTCACCAAGAACACACGAAAACACAACCTAAACCAGTAATCTACAACAGAAATCACCAAGATCTTCTAAACTCTAGATTACAGATGAAAACCACACGTTTTCATTAAGAGAAGAAAAATACAGAGGGGAGAGAGAGAGAGAGAAAACCCTAGAATTCATCCGATACTGAAATAATGGAAGTCTCTCGAATATAAGGAAAACCCTAGAATTCATCCTATACTGAAATAATGGAAGTCTCTCGAATATAAGGAGTCACAATGCATCCAACGGTCATGCCAGCTACAGGTGTTTCAATCTTAGCCATTTAATTTCGACAACCAGCGAAGTTTGCTTTTCACGGCAAATTTTGTTTATGGCGTAAAGCTACAAGCCATATAAAGCAAACTATGTGTATCTTTCCGGCAATTGAGAATTTAATTTGAATCCAAATTTCTAATAGAATAACGGTTTTTCATGTTCTGATCTGTGTATTGTTGGTATTAATACAGGCCCAATATTGCTCAAAACAACAAGAACACAAGATTTCTCGCCCTTAGCCCGGATGTTCACCACAAAGTGGCTAGTCACCCGTTGAGCATCCACCGAAGTGGTTATCGCTCTAATCCATTAAAATCCAAACGAAGTTATCAAGATACAAGATCAGAGATACAAAAGAGTCACTCGACTCAAACGCTCAGCCCTAACTCCCTTTTCTCTCTATTTACAGATTACACCAAGTAATCAGATTTGCCGCTCACCAAGAACACACGAAATCACAAACTAAACCAATAATCTACAATAGAAATCACCAAGATCTTCTAAACTCTAGATTACAGATGAAAACCACACGTTTTCATTAAGAGAAGAAAAATAGAGAGAGAGAGAGAGAACGACGATAGAAAACCCTAGAATTCATCCTATACTGAAATAATGGAAGTCTCTCGAATATAAGGAGTCACAATGCATCCAATAGTCATGCCAGCTACAGGTGTCACAATCTCAGCCATTTAACTTCAACAACTAATGTTGCATTACTGAAAAACGCGAGAATGGACATACACAATAGGGCCCAGACCGGTTCACATTCAAACAGACCATTGGGCTGAACTAATTGGGGCTTTTCATCATTGGGCTTTAACAGAAGATGGCAAAGCACAAATATAACA